CACCAAGATGACGAACTCCTCAGCACACGTACGAAGTGTCGCACATGGGAAACACATAGGCAGAAATGGCCGACGCGCCATGCTGACGCACGTAGGTGGCGGCCATTTCGGAATGCCGACGGCAATAGAACGACCGTATTCATTTTTTTTTTTTTCGTACTCGATTCTAACACGCATGCGATTTATAAACTCGCTTAACCGGAAAAAAGGTGCGCGTTAGATTCGAGTAATTACGGTATTAGACTCAAGATGACTGTAAATATGGAAGGTGATGACGTGTTCAAGTAGCTTGCAAGATATGCATGTTAGCGAGATGAGGTAATAGTTACTAGCGGAGTGTTCATTTTCATCTTTAAATATCGGAATGACCTTTGCAGTCTTCCAGTCGGTGGGAAGTTGACCAGTATATAAAGACTGTTGAAAAATGTGGCATAAATATGACTGGACGAACCAGATGTATTCTTGAATATTTTGGAAATAAAGTCGAGCCCACATTTAATGGCCCCAATTAAAACGAACTTTCGCTTAAAACGAACATTATCCGCATGAGTGTGAAAATATACATTGGTTCAATGGCACAGAATCGCACTTACAACGAACACTCCGAGTGCAGCTGATCGGTCACAGCGAACGAAGTCAGCGGTCTGCCGACTTCCCGGCAAACCAATTTCTACCACCAATCAGGCATTCGCGAGGTGCCCATACAGTCTTGTTGTTAAACGCCGACCCTGCCTCCGCGACCCTCTAGTTGCCGCTCTCCCCAACCCATGGAGGAAGGAAAGTTGTTTCCTTCCTCCATGCCCTGACTGCTTTTTTTACGCACCCCTCCGTCCTTTGTCCCCCTGCTACTCTGAGCACCCCACATCGCCAGACGAGGCCCGTGTTTTCATACTGCCATCGATCTTTCGCTGGTACTGTCGTTGGCGTCGCCGGCCTGGAGTGACCAGACCATTTGCCAACATCATCGGACACCGACTGTATCCGACAGTTTGTGTCTAGTGCACACACGTACGCTACCCCACCGACTCTGATAATTTGCGATTCGTTTCATGTTTAGGACTTGTTTTCTCGCACTTGGATCAGCATGCTTTCCGCACGTGTGCGGAAGCCCAAAAACGGCTGTTAATTTGCGCTGAACGAATCACGAAATATCGAAGTTCGTGAGGCCACGCAAACTCGCCGGCGCACAAAACAATTTTTTCACCACGGCCGCCGATTCTTTGAACACCGCCGTGCGCACCAATCTAGGCGGCCACATGGGTCCACAAGTTCTGGCATGTGTGTCGCGTGTGCGCGTCTTGCTCGCTCTTGGTGTGCGTGTGTGGTCATGATGGCCGACGGGAGGACTAGCATGCTTTTTCCTGCAGCTCAACAAAACGTTGAAAGTGTGACCGCTTGGCTTGAGCGTAATCCGCGTGTTAGGTGCCGCATTGTGAAGTGCTTGCTCATAGCTGTTGACCACCTGGCAGCTGACTTGCCGCTTTTAGCATCCCGGTATTCAGCTGTGAAGATGGTGAATATTTCGTGGGCGGCGTTGACAACATGCACGCGAGACTGTTTTCACGAGGTTGACTTCATCGAAGTCGGGCCCGATGCCGAGCCTGAAGCTTCCGAACTGCGGCGGCGATTTGTGGCAGCGCGTCGTCAACTCCGACGTTTAATTACGGCCGATGATGCCGACTCTGGGGAACCGTGCACGGATCAGGGCATTTTGAATGAAGTACGTGGCGAGAGCGATTTGTAGGAATCGGATTGCGAAATCAATGAAACTTTGGAGCCAGTGCCTCATGCAGCTTATGCCACAGACCTCAGCGAACGAGCACCCTGCCATTTTAAATGAACTCGAGACCGCCCTTATCACTTCTGCTTCTCGAAACACGTGCATCACGGACTTTTCGGGGAAAAAAAGTTTGTGCTTTCATTTGCAACTTTTTTTAAAAGCTGTGTTTCATATACTACAAACTTCGGGATACAGCAAAGGGATGCTTCGTCACGCTCAGGTTGGTTATAAGCGGGCTCGACTGTAGTATTGTCCACACCACATGATGTAGACAAGTTTAGACCGTTTATAAGTTTAGATATGCCTTAGACAGGAACACTAATAGGGGACATGATGTTGGTTTCGGGACGTTAAACCCCACATATCAATCAATCAATAGGGGACATGAAGCAGTACTCAAGATCAGAGACGCAGGGAACGATGAAGAGTCTTCATTTGTAAAGATTGAGCAAAAAAAACTAATTAAAGTATGATGCACATTCAGATGCAGACGCAGGAATATTATCCGTGTTGTGTAATATAACCATGTCACTGCCAGAATCAGGCGAAATGATACACCAGAACTCTCTCGGGTTAGTGTGCAAAAGTGTAGACATATCAGTGTTAAGATATTTTTTTTTCGCTTCGCTAACAGTAAGACAGTAAGATTTTAAGCATTTTTATATTTAGGACTAAGATTCAGGAGACGGTAACCTTTTAGTGCAAGCATATAACTTTTTCTATTTATTTCTGAAAGATCTAAGCAATCTATTAAACCACTGTTTAGATTTGTCGTTAATGATATTGATTAGTGGTACATATTTGTCTATGAGGAGCGCCGTGATATTTCTAAAAAAAGTCCAGTTATCTTTCACAGACCTGTTGATGCATGAGGGAAGAAATGTATCTTGTAGGAAGATATCAAGTTCAGCATTCATTTGATCATAATTTGCCTTGCTATAATCTCTGATTACCTTACGCTGGACACCTGAAAAGGTTAGTGGTATATTGATTGACAACTGTAGAAGCTAGTGATCACTAAAGCCGTCTAGTTGCAAAACGGACCTATGGTATGTGGCTCTGTTGTCAGAATAATATCTAAGATATTATTATCGGGAGTGGGCTCTGAAAAAAGCTGGGTGAAATTGAAGTCAATACATAGCTCAATGAATTCACATGAATTACTACACAATGAAGACGTGTATGACCAGTTAATGTCAGGAAAATTAAAATCACCAAATAAGTAGATTTTTTATGTAGGAAACAGGTCTGGAGCCCTAGAAATACTTTTGTGTTGTGAAGTTCTGATATGAAAAGACGGTCAGAAGAAGGTGGGCGATAGCTTACGCCCATCAGTAATTTTTTAGATACGGTAGAACAAGCGACCCAAACTAAATCAAGAGAAGAGTCACTGTTGACAAGAAAGGAAGGTATAGTCTGTTTGATGGCTAACAGCACGCCGCCACCACTTTTGTGTGCTCGGTCATGACGGTAAATGGAGTACTGATTTGAAGTATGATATAGCTCAGAGTCACAAACGTCATTGTGTTGCCAAGTCTCGGTTAGTAAAAGAACATCACATTTACTATCATCAAGATACGGAATAGTGAGTTTTCGCTTGCAGCTGCCTTAACTATAGTGTAATTACATTCTAAACTATCTTAGAACCCTCAACGCAGCACTAAGTGGGAAAACGTCACTAAGTAGCACTACTAGGAAGTGAGGGACGCAGCGTCGAGTGAGAACATACCGAAGAACAGACACGCTTCGAGGCCCACACAATACAAGAGTGAGCGCATCTGCTTTTCCTTTGGTGCATTCTTGAGTTTCGATATGGCTGCATAGTCTTCAAGGTGACTTTTCTAGGTCGGCCAGGTCCCAGCATTGCCAAAGCACATGGCTCTGGAGTCTGAAGGCTCATACCCAATCATTTCGGGCTGGACTTCTGAGTAAATATGGTAGGGACGATGGCTATGTGCCAGCGCGTGAGAGACCCCCCCCCCCCCCCCCCCCTCAAGACGCGGAGCCGTGCTCCCGCAAAGGGCAAGGGCTGCAGAAGATAGTGCCTTATTCCTGTCCTTCAACCACACATTCATTCAACCCTGCGACAGCTTTCTTTTTTTTCTTCTTCTCTCTCTCTTCGCGCACGGCGTTGGAAGGAGAAGGGTCTTTACGTGGCAGGGACGGAAAAGGGAGAAGCCTGGCACAGGCGTGTCGCAGATCGGCATTTGAGAGAAAGCAAACATTCCACCACAGTCTTTTCTTTCCTTTCATTTTCTTTCACGGGCAGCGTTGAGGTGTCGGAGGTGCCGCCTCAGGATTGGGCAGGGTGCTGAGGGCATTTTCGGAGAGCGCTATGTTCGAATAAACCATAGCAAGTGCTTGCGCGTTCGAATTACTGGACGTTTTTGCCCATTGGAATACACATAGCTTTGACGGGACCTCATCCTGAGTTCGAATTAACCAGAAGTTCGAATTAACAAGACTCGTCTATATTCAGCTTTGACACCACATGCAAGCTAGGCTTTTGAGGCACTTGTCAAGCTTTCATTTCATTGTGGGTGTGGTGGTTCAAACATCTCGACTACCTGTTTACGTCTCATAGTGCGATAATTTGTGCAGCGATCCACACATTGGTGATGCCATCTTGATTCACAGGTTGACAGTGCAATTTATGAGTCATGTTATCAAAATCAACATTAATCCTAGGCAGTCCAAGTTACTTGACCAGTGAGGATTTCCTATCTTTATCTCCTTTAGATCTGTATTCTATGGATGCTTTGAAGTTAGGACGTTCAGCCAGTCATTGACACTGGCTTTATTCATGTTCAGGTAAACACTGGCTTAAAGTAGTGCTAGTTGCGAGTATTATTGTCCATGCAGAAGGAGCAACTGCCTTGCAAAGGTGTCAACAGATTTGCTGCATTTTTGTGGTCGGCCAGATTGCAGCCTTTGTATGCAGAGCTTTCACGTGATTTCATTTTTAACATTTTTTTATGAAAATATTTTCAAAAATTTATGAAAATGAACTAAATAATACAAAGCTACAGATACGGAAGGTAAGCCCTGTGTCTGCTTATTTCTGTAATTTTCGCGTAGGCGCTTCTTATGCTGAGGGGAAACTGAGTGGGTTCATTGAATCAACAGGATCTTGCTTGGTAGCAACTAGTTTGGACGGCGCTTGCGGATACAAGGTGTAAGAAGTGTTTTACACTGTGATGTCATATTCTGACCCTGACAGACCCCACAAGGGCACAAAGCAGCTGAGGAAGCTATTGCACACCCTCGCAACTACGTGCTAAAGCCACAGAGGGAAGGTGGTGGTAAGTCACACATTTCATTTTGTGTAGTGGTCTATGTACATAATTAATCTATGGACATGTTTCTTATTGTAGTCGAACCCACCTATAACGATCCTGGATATAACGATGTGTTGTATGTAACGACCATATTTTAGTGCACTTATGATTTTCGTATGCTACCTATTGAAACTGTCATGTTAAAAGAATTTCGGCACAACTTTGCACCACTCCCACAATATTTGCGCTAAGGTTCTCACAATATGAGTAATTGCCAACTAGTCCAAGAACAAGTTTCGTTGAAACTGTGTCTGCGTGTAGACAACATTTTTCAAAGCCTCGATCCTACTTTTAATCAATACTTCCAATAGGGTCATGGTAAAAATGCAGTGCATGCGAAGCCAAAAAACGGTCAAAGCAGGCATTTTTAAAGCATTAAACAAGCACACGTTCGCACATGCCTCGCTGTGGTTTACTTGCGACGAAGGTATCATACACCACGGTAAACACGAACGCATCTTTCGGACACTGTGGGCTAGGAGGAGACTTCACTGGCAAAACGGTAGTGAGGAAAAAAAAAAAATAGGAGGCAGCTTAAAGACTTGCGATCAGCTTTAATTTGCACAGCAAACTTTTCTGGTGTCGTTCTCTCCATCTGCGACCGCCGCAGATTGATCAAACGTCTTGAAATGCATGAAGCCATAAATGCAAGAAGCGATAATTTTCTGTTGCGTAAAAGATCACTGCGGTGCTCAGCTTGCCGATGCCACAACGTGCCACCAAAGGTCTTCCGCCTTTCGATAATATCCAGGACTCATCAAACACTGATAACGACTTCTCCACGATGGTGGCCTTAAGGGTTAAGAATCAGAAAATAGCGAAGGAGAAGTGGCTGGGGGCAATGAATGTGCCATTTTGACTCATCGCTGACTACCTTATCGCAATCATCTGCAGATATCTGCTCGGGTGTGCATGTTTAAACTGCACGAAATGACAATGGTACAAATGTGTCATGCGATCATTCGCAAGTTCGTCGCCGCCGCATCATGCAGGGCCACTTGCACATTGTTTGCTAAATGTATGTCTTCATCATGGTTAACAAACTGGCTACATGCCACACCCGAGCACAATCTGGAGTGAAGCATGCACGAGGAATGCAGGAATGCACGTGCAAACGGCCCGACATGTGACGGCGAGGGCCAGGTAAGCGACATGCTTCACGCAACTAGCCTGGGATGATTGGTTCAATGTGACGGTACTGCGCTTCCTTGGAAGGGCTTGAGTTCAGTGCGAATGTAGTTAAATTCACTCGTCAGCACACAATGATCGTCATTTAACAAATTAGGTGAAAGGCCTAACTTGTCACTGGGGAGGTTGTTAGCACTTTTAATAAATATACGCTTGGAAAAATATGCTTTGGTGGCTAATTGCATGCTCTTAAGAGTTAGCCTATACACAGGGAACTACTGATACAGTCCAACCTCTTTATAAGAGACACTGCTATAAGAGACAAATGAGTATAAGAGGCACCTTGTGCCTATAGTAAAGGACTAGTTAATAGGAAAATGCATACTGTAATGCACAGTTAAAAGAACTTCTAATAAACCAATGTAGGTAGGGTGAACTTGGGCCCAAGAATAAAAACAGCTAAAATCGAAATTTCCTAGCAGCCTTGAGAACCTACTTCTTTTTTTCCTCCACGTTCTTTTGTGTCCAGCTTGGGTCGCGTGCAGCTGTGTCCTGCAGGCACGTGCACCGCAAACCTTCCCGAGGGCATGAGTGTCAGCTAGCGCACGTAACCTGAAGTCGCATTGCGTCATTGCCCCCCTTTCCAGAGTGCATCGTCTTGATGCTTGTGACAAACTGGTTGCATGGTGGTCATTTATAACACCTTTTTTGTGGGTGTGGTTACCGTCGAACAACATTGTGTTCTCGACGGTTCATTGCCTGTCGTAATACTACAGCGGGGCAGAGCACTCTGTACGGACTGAAATAGTGGGCAAGCAGTTTTTCCAATAGGCCACCTATCCGTACGGAAATCCACACTCATACTTTGTCTCCTGGTGCACACTGGATGTCCCTTAGTCGCAGATTGTACCAGTGCATATCGGTTCTCTGCTGTTGGAGAATACAATATCATGCCAGCTGTCTTGCTTGTTCTGCTCCTGACATCGTTGACATCGTTGACAGAAGCCGTTGACATCATTGTCATTCTCGGACGTCTCGTCAATAGCATTGCATTTAAAGGTGTTGTTACGGTCTGGCCAAAAACAAGTTGAATTGGCATTATCCGTGTTGTCTCTTGCATCGCAGTGTTATAGGTGAATGTTGCGTAAGGTAATATTTCATCCCATGTACGGTGTTCTACATCCACGTACATCGACAACGCATCAGCCAGCCTTCTGTTCAGTTAGATCATTGTAACACGAATCGCTTGAGGATGGTATGCCGTCGTTTTTCTATGACTAGTGTTATTCTATTTCGAAATAGACTTTGTAAGGTCAGTCGTAAAGGCTACAAAACTGCGCGAAAAATCGACAAGAAACGGAGAAGGCACACACACAAGCGCAGAAAAAGGCTGTTCCTCGGTCTGTGATCAACACTCGTGGAGCTCCATGCAGCAGTGCAATGTTGGAGACAAAGTATTCAGCTACTTCAATGACTGATCCTCTAACAAAAGGCACTGTCTCAGCATATTGGGTTAGATAGTCGGTCACAACTAGTATCATTCATTATCTCGGCATATCGGGTTACATAGTTGGTCACAGTTGGTATTATTCACCGTTTTCCCGACGACAATATGGGAAATGGGCCCAGTATGTCCATTCCTACTTGTGTGAATAGGGCCTTTGGTTGTTCTATTGGTTGAAGGAGACCTGCTAGTTTTAACGGTGGGGTTTTACATCTTTGGAAGTCCTGACAAGTTCTGACATAGTTTCATACAGAGCTGAGCAACTTCAGCCAGTAGTATTTAGCGCAGATGTGTGCTAATGTTCTGCCTACTCCAACCGTTCAGCTGATGGATCATTGTGGCAAGTCTCCAAAATCTATTTCAGCAGAAGTGAAGGAACAACAAGCAGGAGTGTCGCTGTATTGTTGTCACAGTTTCTTTTATACGGGACGAATGCTAACAAGCTGCTGGCAAAAGCTCGTGGAATATTGACAGACTGCCCCTGTAGGTACTTGATCAACAGGAGTAGCCCAGGGTTGCATTGCTGATGATGTGCCATCTCTGACGTTGTCATAGCTCCTAAGAAAGCAAAACTGTCCTTGGTGGAAGTAGAAGCAACGGGTCGAATCGGAGCATGTGTCAAGCAATCTGCATCACTGTGCTTTCGACCGGACTTATACACAAGCTTGATATCGTACTCCTGTAATCGCAGGCTTCATCTTGCAAGTGGTTCACATGGGTCCTTGAGATTAACTAGCTAGCATAGCGAATGATGTTCGCTTATAGCTCGAAAAGGCCTACCATATAAATATGGTCGAAACTTGCTGATACAAGGCATTCTTTCTCAGTCGCTGAGTAGTTCACTCAGCTTTTGAAAGAGTGCGACTGCATACGCAATTACTTGTCCTTGTTTGTTTTGCCATTGCATGAGTACGACTACAAGACATAAATTGCTTGCATCCTTGTAGATATTGGTTTCTGCTTCCTTGGCGACATGCATCAAAACTGGATCGCTTTGAAGATACTTCCATAGTTCATTGAAGGCATCCTCTTGTTCGTCAAGCCATACGAAAGGCATGTCCCTCTTTCATCAGCTACGTTAGCAGCTCAGGAATTTGTGAAAAATTTTTCATGAACCGTCAGCAATAAGAGAAGAGCCCTAAAAATGGCGTAACAGCCTTTTTGTCTCTCAGCATAGAAAGTTTCGCTACGGCCTCAGTTTTTTCGGGATCTGGGCGGACACCTTCTGCTTTGATGACACCGCCTACAAAAACGAGCTCACAGAAGTCGAAATGAGATTTCTACAGTTTCTTCATCAAGTTCGCTGACTTGATAGTAGTGAGCATGGCTCGGAGCATTTCCAAGTATTCCTCGAAGGTAGCAGAGAAGAATACATCATCAAGATAAACCAAGCACGACTGCCATTTCAGACGGGAAAGCACTGTGTCCATGATCTGTTGCAATGGGGCGGATGCTGAACAAAGAGCAAAAGGAGGTACCTTAAACTCATATAGGGGGGGACATGGCACTTTAAACAAAATTTTTGTTTCTAGATCAATTTTGATGAAACTTTTTGCTAGTGTGTGTATATATGTATGTTGATTTCAATTGTGCTGTAGGGAAAGCACACTTCTGCTGGGTTTACTGACGCAGAGCACTAATCGAATCGGTCACAAGCAAAATCCTTCACTCTCACTGTACGTTCACTTGACTTCTTAGTCATTGTCTTCCATGCACCGCGCGAGCCCGATTTCCAACATCTTCTGCGGCCAACAATATCACTTGCTCAGTTCCAGAGGACAAAGAAGTTGAACCAGTCTCATGCGTTCCAGTACCGTCTGCTAGTTATTACTCCTGTAAGGTTTCAACAAGTCTTGCTAACTTCTAAAATGCAACAGGCACTTTTTTATCTCTAATTTTGAGAATGTGACCACACTTTAAAGTGTTTCCTAGCTTCTGGAACCTGCTGTGCGCACTTCTTAGTGTCAGTTGTATTCCTTATGCCAGCGTTGCCAAAAGTTATTTAGTTTTTGTTGTCTATGTCTCTAGGCGGCAGCGTCTCAGTGCGGCCTCCTGAGTTATCGCTAACTTGTGCTTGCGGAATAGCCATGAGGCGCCTACCTGACAAAAAGTGTGAAGGACTCAGTACTTCTGCTTGGGCAGTATCATCAGAAATGTATGTCAGTGACCTAGAATTTATCACTGCCTCGACTTCTTTCAGTAAAGTGTCAAGCTGCTCATAACTGAAGCATCCTTTTCCTAGAGTTTTCCTGAGGCAGTTTTTAACCTTTCAAATTATTCGCTCCCAGAAGCCTCCCCACCATGAAGCGTGCTCAGCAATGAATTTCCACGC